CTGATCAAGCACAATCTTAATGCTACAGCATGAAATGATATTTAAATTGTTGTCAGTTTGGGGAGGAACAGCATGCACAAAACCAGGTCCATAAAGAAAGAGTTTTAGGAGTTTGGTGTGGAAGAACTTGACTGGCTTGCACCTAACCCCCTATCTCAACCGCATGCAACACAAGTAGAAAGAACTGGAACGCCGACTACAAGCCAGGCGTTATCACCCAACATAGGTGGTGGACTTCTCTAATGCTTATGTGGCTGTTGGAGCAAATTCTTGCAGTGGGATTCTAAAATATTGTTAAAAGTCTATATAGCAGCAGATTAATGCCCAAAGGTTTGGAATTACATGTTTAGCAATCACACATGGGTGTCATGGTCGAGTGTCCACATTCTTTTGGCCATGTAATATATATATTTTTTTTCTTTCTTTATATATACTTTTATTTTCTTAAGAACAACTTATTCATTGAAATGTGTTCAGTGGAGAAGAAGTACTCTGATCCTTAAGTAAAAAAATTAAAATAAAATAAAAACTCCATTACGTAACATTACATAAGTAAAAGTCCTCCATTCAAAGTCCCACTTAAGTAAAAGTATTAGCAGCAGCTAAATATCCTTCAAATATCAAAAGTACTGTTTCTACAGACAATTGGCCAATGGCCTGTACTAGTTTACTGTTGGTCAGGATGGAGCTAGTTAGTTTAGTCCAGTGGTTCACAATCTAGGGCTCGGGCCCCTTCAAAGCCTCACCAGATAAATCTGAGGGGTCGTGAGACGAGGAATGGAAGAGGAAAGAAGAACAAGTTCTGACAGTCAAATCTGTTTTAATTTTTTTTTTACTTTTCTCCTGTGTTATTTGTGAATTAGTAATTAAACAGTTACCTAAATGAAAAAAATGGGATGCTTAGAGGGGGACTGTATCTTTGAAGTGTGACCGGGAGTCTAAACTACACACTGATTTTATGTAAGTGAAAGTTTAATTTATAAGCAGTAAAACATAACCTTGCACAATTCAATACACTGATGGGTTTTGATTAGCCACAGCCTTAATTGGTCTGGTATGACCTGTAGCTTCTGGTGGCTAATGTTAGCTCAAATTATCACTTTAGGTAGATGTGGTAGTGGCTCTTCTTTAGTTGCAGTACAGTTGCACAATGTTTCAGCAGTTTCACCATTATCTCACAGTTGTCACTTGTGGCCCCAGTGTCTGGACGTGACTTGCTTTAAATCATACAGACTACAAACAAGGAATCTGCCAGTGTAATGAAATACTTTCAATTGTTTCCTGTGAAATGTACCTTTTAACATTATCTGTTTATGAGATATGTTAAACTGCAAAAGTATATATATATATATATATCTAAACATGCTTTTACAATTTTTTCTTTTCACAGCAAATGGTATCCAGTCACCATTTTTAAAAATCTGTACAGTATGAACACCCACCCTAGATAATGCAAAGGATAGTGGCATACATACGGTATCCTGGCTAATGTCAACAGCACAGTATCTTTGTAATGTGTATGTTTCAAAAACTTTTTATGTGAAGAATTCTGCCTCAAAATAAAGTGCAAAGCCTTTGTGTAGTTACAATAAAGGTTGTGTCCTCCTGTGCAGCGCCACCGTAGGGCCCCCTGCTGCTTTTGGTCCACTGATGAATCAGGCTGTGTGCACCTAATAACACTACCCAAGAACCTCAGGGTGAAATTCAGGGCTTCTGCCTACCACATTTGATTTGATTGCCCTCTGCATGATTATAATCATGTTTTACCTTCAGTTGTGGCCACTGTTTTGATTGTCTCCTCTTGACTCTGCTGCCTGATTTTTAATTTAACTTTCTTTCTGCTTTCACAGCAAATGATTTATGCTGAATTCTGGTGCAGTCTCGGTTTGGCTGTCAGGAAACCACCACTTCACAAGTCCTGTTCTCTCCACCAACATTCAACATCCCTCCCCGACTGCCCCCCCATCTCTTCCACCCTATCAGCTCAAACGGATAAGTACCTTTTCCCATGCTGAGGGCTTTTAACTGCCTCGAAGCCTGGAAATAGTCCCACCGCTCACTCCTGCAAAACCAGGCCCTGCTTCCCTCTCTCACTGGGGGAAAGTTACATTCACACTATCGCAGTCAGTCATCTGTCTCCAAGAGTCGGTCCTCACAGCGTCCATCATCCATCAGAGGCGGAGCAATGACACCATTGCCTTGCAATCAACAGCTTGACAGCTTGATAGACTTTCACAAGCCACCTCTCATATCCCGTCACATATCTGACAAACCAGCCGAGACAGGTGATCAAACTAGAAGATAGCAGCTTTCAGTCTGTTAGAGATTACGTCTGAAATTTTCTCAAATAGAATTGGTGAGGTCCTTATAAAATGCAACTTTATCTTTTCATAAAATTTGTACAGTTGTTAAATATTAACGGAGTTATGTGTTTTGGGTTGGTGGATGGATGGGAGAATGAAACCGATGACATGTTGATTGGATGTTCTTCAACAGCTGGAATATGCTGCATCTCAGTCTTTATGGGACATGTTTTTTTTTTGTTTTTTTAGCCCTCAGGAAAAGCATACACACATACTCCCCTATTACTACTAAATACTATTTACAAAGACGCTGTTGTTTGTGTAGATATTGCTATGTAGATAAAATTAATATAGTGTAAATATTTTTAGCATTTTCTGTCATCATCTTAGATGCAACTCAGATAATACTTGTACATAAATTGGGACATTGAGAGCTTTATTCCAAAACACAGGTCAATTCTTTTTTGTGCAGCAGAATCATCACTTCTTTGAAGTATAACGTGTGCAGCTTCTGGTCGGATTTACCAGAGCATTAGTTATTCTGCTCGCTACCTTTTCCAATCTGCACATGCATTTATACATAATGTTCCTTATCACTGCCTGACATGTGGGCACATTTATGCTGTCAGACATATGACTAGTGTTATGAAACCTTGGCACAAAAAATATTGTCCTCAAGTGACTGTAGGTCTCTGCATTACTGCTATTTATATCTGCACCATATACACAGGGATATACAGCAGCCCACTCTTATTTAAGTTAATCATATGTGAAATAAAAGCTCAGATGACAAGTTAGCTGAAACACATCCTTCTGTAAGTCCTTTATGTCTTACATGTAATATCTGGTTTCAACCGTCAGATGTTTTTATTTTTTTTTTTAATACCTGATTCATTCTCTTTTTTATCTAACACATCCCTTTCTCCAAATCCATCAACTGCTATATTTGGAATGCTACCATCAAATATTATTGTATCTGACCTTCAGAGAAAATCTGTAATATTCATCTTTTAGCTCAGCAGTTTAATACTCAGGAACTGGAAGTCCGACAGACACCGTTTCTTTAAAATGTGGATACAAGACGTGATGCCTCTCCTGCAAAAATTAGATACACTTTCCAAGGCGTGCTTTTTTTTGTAGGGTAGGTGTCTGCATCTGTGGCCTGAGGGAAGAAGGGTGTAGCATGAGATGAGAGGGTGGCTGGGATTTTATAGTATTTGCTCTGCGGGTGGTGGCGGTGTCAATGAGGGCTGGCAGGTTGGGAATGGGAAGACCAATTATTTACAAAATTGTATTTTAAGGAGCTTGTTTCCATTGGTGAGAGTACAGGAGGACGGGTTCGATGATACTACGGTACAAGAGAAGCAGGAGGTGTGGTTTGACTGAGAGAGTCCTGAGTTTACGTATGACAAAGTGTCTTTGTTGGCAGCGTCTGTGATGTCGTGATCAAAACTCAGTTTATTGTCCAAAATGATGCCAATGTACCTTAAGCTGTCAACGGTTTCTACTGGCTGGCCGTGGATGGAGATGGGGGAGAGAGAGAGTGAAGAGTTTATGGCGTGTGTCCAGGATGAGGTCCTTTGTTTTGGTGACTTTGAGGAGGAGGTGACTGTCTGCACCCACACTCCTATGACGTGAGGTGTGTCATATATTGGTTTTAATGGTTTATAATTGCATGAGCATAGGCCTATACATAGTGTATCTATATAAAGCATAATGCAGAATCCAGTATTTTGTTTTGCTTTGTATTTGTATATCTCCTCTTAGTCTGGAGTTGGGAGGAGGGGGTGCAGGAAAAGTCCATCCTGCCTAACCCCATTACTGACAAGACAAGATTCAGATACAGCACTTCAATGTCTAACCTGCATTCTGGATTCTGAGTAGATATTTTGGCAGTCTCACACTCATTTTATGAAAAACATTTGTGATACATTTGATCGAAAGACCTAGAAGCATCTAAAAAGTTTCAAGTGGAATTGCAACAAATGTCAAAGATTATGGCAATAATTCATATGTCTGTGCCATGCTTATCATTTGTGAAGACAAACAATTATAAGCTACCTGCAATAGGATACTTGGTGGCTACATTGTTATTAATTTTACCTTAACCTTACATTTGTCTTCTATGGCAGGAACTAACAGCACTTTCCCTTTCATTGTCTCTCTATGCAGACATATCCTGACAACTCTGCGATAGAGAAGTAAACATATCAAAAGGAGTTTAGGGTTTAAATCTAGGTGTTAAACTATAGAAATACACAATTAATGAGAAATAATCACAGACAAACCAATTAAGTTGCAAAGTGGGAGGCGTTATCTTGGCTTCAGGAAGTAAAAGTCCCATTTATTTTCACCATAGACAATGTTGACTCACAGTTTGACATACAACTTTGATTAGCACGCAGTTCTGTCATTAGTAAAAATGTCTGACAACGGTGTTTGAAAATATCTGGTTCTTTAGAAAGAGATACAAGCCTGTGCACAAAAAAACTGCAAGAGAGAAGTGAGCCGCCATTCCCAAGGTGCAAATTGCATTTTTTGGAATTGCAAAAGTTAAAAAAATAGTCTATTAGTACTTGATGAAGTATTTTAGTGTTCTCTAGACCAACACAAAAATCACACACATGATTAATACAAAGCCGTAATTACAAACCACTACAGTTCAATTAAAAATATATTTAGGAAACTTACCAAGCATTTTATGAGATTTTTATGGATTTTAATACAGTCCTAAAAAGGAACATTCTAACTTTAAATACATTTACATGTGTAAACACACATCTCTTCTTTAACAGACACACTTGACTGTGGGTGTTTCACCACAGCGTTGCATAATCCCAATTTTAAATCGGGAAATCAGCATCATCATGTTCTTTAATCCACCACGCAAACACCAGAGCGCCATGGGTTAGGACTTGAAGCACCCTTACAACTGCTGAGACAGAGGGGCCATCCAGGGTTCAGGCAGTGGGCTGAGAGGTCAGGTATCGCCTGCAGTAAGCGGCACAGACGACACCAACTGGCACCTCTGTGAAGGCAAGAGGATTAAGAGAGCAAAGTTGATCTCAATGTTTAGAAAATACCAACAGAGCAGGGTTGAAGAGGTCAGCGGAGCTTTCAGTATCCTTCTAATTAATATTCAGGCCTTGGGAATATACTAAGCTAGTGCCCCTTAGCCCTTCTTAGTCCTGGTCTGTTGAGAGGGGTTTGGGTTTAAAGACAGATGTATTTGCTTCCAGCTAAGGGACTCTGAGCTTCGTTCTGCTGCTGAATGATTGGGCAACCTCGGGCGAGCTTGTCCTAGAGGCCTTTTCGTTATTCTGTTCACAACGCCCCATCTAAAGACCCTCATTGATCAGCGGCTCCTTAAGATCCTCTCTTCTCGTTTAGTGAGGAGCAACTGTTACATCACTGTCACAGAAAATGGATAAATGGTCATCTGATTTATGAGGGACTGGATGGGTCACAGTTAGTGTGTTCCGTATCTTATAAATGTTTATCTTTATATATCGTATTTTAAGGGTAGATGCAAAAAAGTTTGTGGAAATGATTTGTGTTGCAAAGACGGCCATGGTGGCTATAAGTACTCAGGTAAAGAGCTTGCTTCAAAGCTTTCAAATGCTTCTCATGGCCTTAATCAGTGGATGGAGTATGCTTAGTTGGTTCTGTTGTTAATTGTGTGATTTCAGCATGAAAGTGACAACAGGTGGTTGCATATAAAGTATTTCTGATGGAGGTTTTAATCATGTGACTTGAAAACATATATAAGATTTAAACATAGTATCTAGCACTTTTCTACCTTAATGTACAAAGCACTTTGAAATGTTGCCTTTCATTCACACACACAAACTGATAGCTGCAGACTAACTTGGGGTTCAGTGTCTTGTTAAAGAACACTTCAACATAGACCGGAGGAGCCGGGGAGAGAACCATCAACCCCTGCAATTAATGGACAACCCAATCTACCTCCTGAGCCACAGCCGCCCCAACGATGTGGCTGACAGGGGTGAAGTGGACCTTTTGCAAAGATGTCTTTTGGCTAAAATACTATATCCATGTTTAATAATAAACCTTTGAGCTCAACTAGTGGATTGGCCTGCCTTCTGATACTTTAAGACTCCATACAGCATATAATTATTCAATAAGGAGGACATTTGGACAAATGCTTTGAAACAACTATTTAGTTATTGACAATGAGGAAGAAACAAAAAGGCTTTAAGCACTTAATCCTAATGGATCATTGGAGTAGCTGATTGGTTTGTATACTGTACATAATTTCACTAATGTATGTTAAAAATTGATGTGCACCAATTTAAAACAACTGAGCAAATTCCAATTGCAAAGAGAGCTCAGGAAAATTTTCAGTAAGTGGACCTTGTGCTAGCACTCCACTTGTGTTAGTGTGATATTGAATGACTCAAGTTAATTATATCTGAAAGCAATGAAATTGTCTCACATATTCATATTTTTATTTTGTTTAAAGAAAGCAAAAAAAACTGACCTTCAGAAAGGGCCTTTTCACAGCAGACACTTTCACTGATACACATTAACTACTTAACTACTAATAACATTAACATAAACAATGTGTTCTATTCAAGTGTCCCAGTAAGCCATGACATATTATATACACCTGTGCTTTTCCTACTGTGACATGTCAAAATCATCTTAAAGCCTATTGCTGGGATGGATTTGGCTGCAGTATTTTCACACCCTTTAATTGCTATTTTATGTAGAATGAGTTAGCCAAATGATTTTTACTAGATTTTCCAAAACAAAATGCCTAAGGATGAGGTATCGCTATGCAATCTGTACACCCATGCTGCTTCATGAACTCACCTGAAGGTTATGTTCTCTACAAAAATGAGAATCTCCACCTCTGATATCAACTAAGGCCTTTTGACTAACTACCATGACCTACAAAACTCCAAACCACATCCTCTCCAAACTTGCCACATTAATCAATTGCCTTATATTTATTCATCACCCTGCTCCCATTCTCCCTTAAGCATTTTTGACAAGGTTGCACCTAGCACACTGCACTCCACTGTACGCACCTGCTCTGTCATGTAGATGCACCCACAACTTAATTATTCATCCCCAATTTATCCATTAACGGCAGCCTACACTGCAATTCACTGACTTCAGTCAATAAATATTCTCTTTGCTAAGATTAGAAGATTTTGCGCGACCTAGATATTAAATCAAGTTATTGTTCCATCTATGTCATGCTACAATTTCTGACAGTGAAGGGAAACTGAGAGGGAAAAGGAGAGAGTGTGAGGTACATGGATGCTAACTTAAACGAATGCTTCAGTTCAACAGTGACCCCTGCTGTAGAGTGCAGACTGGTTTACCTTCAATAAGGGCAGGCTGCTTAGAGGTTTCTTAAGTTGAAAAGGGCGAGGGTTTGTGCATTATCAAAGTGGCCACTTTGCTGAAATAATCAGAGTGGTTTGTTAAGCAGAAACTGCATCTTCTCCTGTGTGGTCATATGAGAGGGCCCACACCTGTTCTATGGAGTCCCAAGTGTGCCACCAGAAAAAAATTTAATTATAAAAAAGTGCAGATTTGATAAAGAGAACATAAAGAGGTGGCGGAGCTTTCAACTGCAAGGTGAAAATGCCATGTGTTTTACATGCCCGCATACCATCACTAATCACTACACAAACTGTTTTCATGTATTTAAGGCTTTCTCCCATTACTTTCCATGAGCTTGATGAAGCGCTGAACTGCTCGTCACTGTTAATAAAAGATCATCATCTGTTTATGGCTTGAGTGTGCAATCATGACTGTTAACACTTGTTGCTCATCTTTATAAAGTAACTGAAAAAAATTCAAATGTAATTTTTACTTTCACACACCAACCTTTTCCTGAGCATTCAAGCGACAACTCTCTTCAAAGAGACTTTTGTTTGTTCTGCAGTAAGTCATGTTTGGTGGTATGGCTCTGTTCTGGGACCTCCCTGCCCTTCCAATTCCCAAGTGGAAAGCCAGGGAGAGCACACCTCCGTGCCCATCAATGTGCATACATGGAAAGCCTGAGGCAAAAAGGGCAGCAGCAAAGACCCCCCCCCCTCAGGGTACAGAACAGAGCAGGCATCAGTAACAACAGAAATAACATTGATTAGTCAGTCACAGCCTAAAAGGAGGAGCTGGGGTGGCGGCGGGTTGCAAAGTGGCTTGCAGAGGAAGCAGCAACGCTAGGCAGGCTAAAGCAGCTTAAATAAGGCACCTTGTGTGGAATTTGCCAATGAATGATAAGAGGGGAATCAGCTGAGCCTTTATACAGATGTGCTGGGATTGTGAGCTGAGCTTGACTTCATTGCCTGCCTGAACTAACACTATGCTCGACTCATATATTGTGCTTTTATTTGGAGACGGCGTTCCCAATTTAAAGATGGAGGAGCTCTGCTTGGCAAAATTAATGATCTTATCATTTCTGTTTTTACTTAAGTTTTAATGCATAATTTAAATGCTATTTCAATTAATCAACTCATAATTAGATTTTTAAATGTATACATGTTCTATAGAATTTTAATTAAAAAACAAAATAATGTAGGTGGCGCAATACAGACTTGCCTTTCTCTGCCAGTGCATGTCAGTGTGGTCACCTCCAGAGTATGTCAGGAATTCAGTGAATGGAATCCACTCACCCAGGACACGTAATCCAGCCCTAATCACTCACCTTGACCATTTGTCTGAGTGACAGGTGTAATCTTTGTTCAAGGTTGGTAGTCTGCTGGTTTTGGAAGATGGAGTGGGGGTTGTAGCAGGTATCCATGCCATACCATAGGGGCCAGTTCCTCTGGAGTCTCCCCTAAGTCCAAGCCCATACAGCTGCAGCCTTGTCAGGGCTTGCAGCATGCTTTATGCCTCCCCGTTGCAGGGAAGAGTAATCACTGGTTCTGCAGCAGCAGTGAAGATTTAGAAGTCCTCTTACCTTCAGCCCAAACCGTCAGTCACTCAGAATAGAGTAGCTGCCTGGAGACTGCCAGTGGAAGTATACATCATCTACCTATCATATCCTCCCTCTTGCTGCTAACCACTATTACGCCTTATGAATCAATGTGTCAGAAGGAAATATTCGTGAAAGGCAATTAAAATAACTAAGAGATCCATCAACCATAAACACAAGTTGACAAGATTACCATCTTTATGAATATTTATCACAAGTAATGGCAAGATCAAAGGGAGCACAGGCAGACCTCTCACAGAGCTGTGTAAAGGCTCCGTGTTTGTTCAGTGATGAATTTGTTAAATGATAAGAATGATGGTTTTAACAGGCACCTGGGGGCTTGTGGGTAGATATGGCTGCAGGTGGAGAAAGGGGTTGAAGTGTTCAGGGGAGATTTGACTAACTCCTGCAGGCTCTAATATATTTATGAATAATGCCCTAAAGCTGATGAAGATTTTCTAAAGGCTATGTCATGCAGATAAAACAGAGCAAACTGTGACTCCAAGTAACGTAGAGTAGTCCTCAGAACTCCTCATATGAGGATATTTTAAGAAAAAAACCCAAATCGGAAAGAAACTTGAAAGGTGCCTGTTATGTTCAAAACTTTCAATCAATTTTGAGAAAGTATTATCTTTGGTAAGGTGTGTTCATTTGGTTTCATAAGTGGGGGACATAATTTGTTAAAAAGAAAAAAAGAAAAATTAACTAAACTAAAACAATTTCTGCTTTAAATCACATTTAGTTCCATTGTTAGATAATGTATTGTCAGCTTTTCTAAAAAGAGAGCACTGTCCTTGACTACCTTATCTTTGATTGTTGTTCAATTCCAGGATCTTTTTAGGATAATATTAGCTGTAAATCAAAATTAATATATTTATAATATTATTTTATATTATAATTAATGTTAATTTTATTAATATTGTCATTATTGTTTTTATTATTATTTACCCCAAACCAGCCAGAGGAGGTACTCACCTCTGAACAGTGTGCCAAATTCTCGGTTGTGTCCCCAACATCCTTCACCAATCAGAGGCTTAGGGCAGCAGGAATGTTGCCTGGGAGGTGAAACACAGGGTAAAAAAAATTTTTATAAGACTTGTTGCTGGTCGTAAAGCTTATTGCTGCAAATGCGACCTTGATGAGCATATGAACATTTTTATCAACTCAGATCTCAGCATCTCATCCGGATTATGGCAGCTATAAAAGTACACTGTGATTTTAGCAAGTAATTAAAACTCAAACTGTAAAAATTAATGAAATGCTGCCCTTGTTTGGACTTAATCACCGGGGGCGAGTTCAATCTCAAAACGTTTGGCACCGGTTTGCAACGTTTTTGGATTGGATGACATGTTTCCTTGCAACGTTCTGCAACTGGCTTCGAGGTATGTTTTCTTCTGTTTGGTGGGCGTGTCACAGGTGTTACCCAATCAGCTGCGACAAGTTTGTAAACACAACAGTGTTAAAAAGGCGGGAAAATGCAGTACACTGACATACACAACAGGGTGTTCAGGGAACCACTGTTTCCGCTGAAATAAACGTTTTGCTACGTTTTGTCGGCGCTGAACTCGCCCAGGGTGCCAGAAATGTACTTATTTAAAGGGGCACTCCACCAATTTTACACATTAAGTTCAGTTTATTCATCTCAAGGATTACTATTAAACTGGTGAAAGGAGCTTTCTAAAGTTTTTCCAACTCTCTGCTTGGCCTTGGAGGCTGCAAAGTTATAATATAAAACCCTTGTTACAAATTTACAAAGTTGTGTTATATTACAAACTGTAAAAGTGGGCATTGAACACATCCACAAAATATGCTATCAAGTTGCATTTTGGGAAATGTAGGATCCAGTGGTTTTGGAGTTTGACCCATACTGGAAACTAAAAGTCGGAATATCTCGGCCTCTGCTGCATCAGTTTTGACCATTCTTTTTAAATCTGTCTCTTGAGATTTAACTGTATAGACGTACTAAACAAAATTGATGGAGCACTACCCCTTTCATAAGGGCCACTACCACATTCACATTTTTCTTTTCACAACATGCATTTGTGCTTATTGTGGACAGGAGTGTCTGACAATGTAGCACATGCCATTGTTCAGCTAACTCTGAAATATCAAATGTCAAAAATGCTTAGCAGTACTTGAACACACCATCTAGCAGATTTTTCTAATTCACCTGCATTACCTCATACTGTAAAGTAAGATTAAAATAAACATGACAATGCAAATGATTTACCCACACATTTAAGTGTAAACCCACCACAACTAAGTTGCTCATCTTTTACTTTATGGTCAACATTTTTTTTCTGGTTTTATGGAATTGTTAAAATAATTAATTGTTATAGTATAAATGTTGCAGAAGTAAACCTCAGTAATTATGTCCAACCTACAGTATGTAATAGAAAGGTATTTTGGAGGAATTAAAATGTAAATAATGTTTAAATTAAATATAAATTGCCTATCTGAATGTGTATTTGATTTTTCTTTATAATGGTGGTTGTTTCATTATGGTGATAAGGTCAGAGTTCAGCCATCACTACATCACTGGCTGTATGTAAAACATCTCCAGTATGTTAAATGAGTTTAGGAAGTGGCACAGACAGGAAATGGAGTGAGACAGATGTCAGACTTTTACAAAGTCCATTAAAAGTATCATTAAATTTGCATATGACCCAGGACGGAAGGTTGTTAAAGTTTAGCAGATAATTTGGACATTCGATAGAGTCGAATCCCAATGTTTTCATTCAAGGCTAAACTCTGCCATCAGCATTCAGACAGGATGAGTTATTGCCTTGTCTTGCCCGATCCTTGGGTGTCAACCAAATTAAAATTCTGGTCAGAGTGGAGGACATATAACAAGTGCCTGCAAGGTAGTAAGGAAGGAAAACTTAAAAACAAAAATGTGTGCACCGGGGAACGGTTAGAGGCAAACAATTCAGGGCTTTGCAGCCGATTTTGGATAATTTGTGGATGGGAAATGGCACTAAGGATCGGGGGTGAGGCTTTGGAGGTGATACACTGGGCGAGAAGGATGGTATAAAGTTGGGTGAAGTGAGGACAGAGCCAATAAGGTTCCTACAAGGACCCTCATTACTTCAGTGCCATCACCCTCCTAAAATGGGCTCCTGTGCTGACTGTCTGTATCCTCTCTTATCCAGTCAAGTTGATATGTGAGTGAGAGGGAGCAGATAGCCTTCCGTGCTCTCCATCTGGCTGCAGACACACACTTTATGTTTACCAATGAGCTTGCCGAGGAGATGGCGTCATTCAGGGCGACAGGTAAGGGTGATGTACACTGCAAGTTGTCAGTTTCAGTCTGTTTTTTCAGTTTCAATTCCATGAATTGAGAGGAGGAGAGTGGGGACGGGACTGAAACATTCTCCTTAAAGTTGTTAGTGACCTGTCTTGTTAGTGGGGTTTCATGAGCAGCTTTGGCACCGGTGCTGTTATTTGTTGCATGTTGCTCATGCTACCACTTCTGGATCAACGGAGGATCAGAGGCATGGCTCTATTTGCGTATTTTGTACAGATGCTCTTACCTCTAAATCTAATTATGTGAGCAGTTAAAATAAATGCATGAATACATATTTACACATTTGTATTTTCTTCTGCACACTGGACATTAAGAATTAATTTAATGTAATCTAATTCAGTAATTGTGGAACAGCTGAAATAATTAAAGAGACTATATAAAAAATGTCTGTGTTTGCCTTGTGAGCTTTAGGAAAAATATTTAGAAAAATGTCCCTTTTTCAGGACACTGTATTTTAAAGATCATTCTGTAAAAATCCAAATAACTTTACAGCTCTTAATGGTAAAGGGTGCAAATAATATTTTTCATGTTTGTTCAATGAACCATAAACAATCACTGAACATGCACCTGTGGAATAGCCGTTAAGACACTAACAGCGTACAGACGGTGGGCAATTAAGGTCACAGTTATAAAAACTTAAATATAACTAAATATCACTAAAAAGACCTTTCTACTGACTCTGAAAAACACCAAAAAGAAAGATGCCATGGGTCCCTGCTCATCTGCGTGAACGTGCCTTAGGCATGCTGCAAGGAGGTATTAGGACTGTCGATGGTGCCAGGGCAATAAATTGCTATGTCTGTACTGTGAAATACCAAAGAAAGCGCTACAGGGAGACAGGAAGGACAGCTGATCGTCCTCGAAGACCACATGTAACAACATCTGCACTGGACCACAGTGCCACACCAGATACTGATTGTTACTTTTGATTTTGACGCCCCCTTTGCTACTTGCATGTCTGTGAAACTTTGTTCAGTTTATGTCTTAGTTGTTAAATTTTTTTATGTTCATACAAATATTAACAAATGTTAGGTTTCAGACTTGAGGAAGTGACTGGAAGGAACCAGCTAATGACTCCAGCTACATATTTACTGTACAGATGTAAGATCAGTATCAGTCTCCTCCCCTAACTTGGCAAGAAAGCAACATGTCCCAAGATGTATAACTATTCCTTTATGGAATTAAGCTGAAAACAGTTTTAGCTCACTTTTGTGCTAATTTTAAAATAGACTATAATCCCTTTTTGGGCCACTCTGGGGCAGAAGAACAAAACAAGCTGAAACAAACATACCTGCTTTTGTCACCTTTGAAAGCTGGTAGAGCTAAAGTGTTAACAAACAAATGCATACTTACAAATCCATCCAATGCATTATCACTGCATTAGAGTCATGTTTCTGGCCACCTGATGAATCCATATCCAACATTCACTCTCCTTTTAACTCTATTTTCATGATATATCTGTCTTCATATTTGACTTTCTTCACCAGCTGGCTACTTGCCAACTTTGTCAGCTGAGACTGACTCTTGTTGTTGACCATTGATTGATATAGATTAACACAGCTTTAAGTCACTGCGTAACACCATTACAAAACAGAGGATCAAAGGTTGAAATGAATATCAGTTATCCTTAAAAGGGTAAATCTGTCTGTATGTGTCATAACAGCAGAGGAACAAGAACTATTTCCACTCATTTTGCATTCAGGCTCAATTCACCTGAGTTGGCCTGACAGCCAGCGGCTCATATCCTTGGCTCTGTCGGGTGCCACAACACTGATTACGCTCTGATCCAGCTCATAAGCAACCAGCCTAATGCCAGAAGCTCAGATATGACACCTTAGGGGGTCTTTGTGTCTTATCTGAAAGCGAGGTCCAACCATTTAGTGACACAGAACTGAATTGTTCCACGGAATAAAGAAAACAATTATGGGCTAAATGGCGGCGATCCAGTGAAAACGGTGGCTCTTATCAGAACGACGCAGGGCACTGGAGGTTTTACCTCAGCTGAGGGTGAAATACAATTGGGAAGGAAACAAACACAGATATTGGGCTGTCGGTTATGTCAAAATTCATTTCAGAGGAAAAGGCAAATAGAAATTGAAATTCATTATATTGATCCAAGCATTGTTTTCATGGAATATGTAAGACGCTTCTTCTGTTTCACACAGATACAACAAACACTTTCTCCAACTCTCTGTCTCGCTCTCTACCTCCCCCTTATTTGCAATGAGTCAGTCTCTATAAAAGAATACCAATCGTACCGCAGTCTCAGTCATGAGGGAAATGTCCCCTCCTAATGCCATGCTGACAGATTGCTTTCCGCATCAGCGGCGATGGTCCATCAGAGCTCCGCTGCTAATTCTGTCAGACGGCACACACTTATGCAGACACGAACCCCAACCCACCAACTGCCTAAAAAAGACATGAAAAGCCTCACAGTCTGACAGTCAAGCTTAAATTGACGCCTGATAGCATGGTAGAGAGCAAAACAGTGACATGCACACACATGGTCAGTGCCCTGTAAAAGCCATGCATGACACCCAGAGCAGTGTATCCAATGCGATGAACACACTCCTCATCACACCATGGTGACTGGTTGGATGTCAACGTGTCATATCACACAGCACACGTCCCAGTGAAGTCGGATGACTCAAAATAAGCAAGTGGGACTTAATTCAGTTAAATGTGTGACTTTTTAAGCTACAGAAAATATACACAAAAACAGAATAATAATGTCTGACACTAGAACAA